GGTCGTACGAAGAGCAGAGGATCCTGAGGCACCAATAGTGGGAATTGACAAGCAGATTGATGCGTGAGCTACTGTTGCTGCTATCGTGGGGACAAAAGGGATGTCGTTTAGGTGTCTCCATCCAGAGAGGATCATTGAGGCACGCTTCTTGAAAGATGTCAATGCGTTAAGGGAAGTATTTACTTTAGTGAAAGTACCAGTTGATAAGAAGAAGACCAAAAGGTGGGGATGGAGAGTATGTGTGGCTGCGACCAATACCTTGCTATTAGGTACTGGAGGGATGCCGTCGATCGAGAGGCAGAGGGGTCGTCGAAGAAACCTCCCAGTGTGGATCCTACTAAACTGGTGGGTCTGATGTGTCCTCTCTTCGTAGAGATAGCGATAGGGTGTAGGTCTTTGACTTCCCGACATCGGACTCTATTCCAGGGGGAGCGCCCTCGACTTCGGCACAGCAGCAGAGTGGTGAGGGAGGAAGGGCAGAGATGTTCCCACAAGTTCAGATAGGAATGGTATCCCCAGTGAGGGACTTCACAACAGCTGTGTATGGTGAGTCGAGGAATTTGAGGAGTTTACTACCGACAGTGTTGAGGCAGGCTCTGGGGTCACTAGTGCTTTGCTGGGTGAAGCCTTCCAGAAGATGACCACAGTAACGGTGCGGCTATTGCAACAGCCCGGCTACGAGTAAGGCCGTCTTACTTAGTTCGGCGGTCCCTAATCCCTCCCAGTTACGTTGACAAGGCAGTGGACTGTATGATAGCAATGAAGCAGGCAGCGATATGCTATGGTGATGACCCGATAGCTGTGGAAAGTTACCATAGGTGGGGGGTCTGCAGGTTGTGTGTATCGATAGTGAGCTATGTAGGTTATTGGATGATACTCTGGCGAAGTGCAGGGACAATACATACCTTTGGGAGAGTAACCAGGGTGTCAGTAGTGTCTGTTATCATGCTATGCTCGTAGGGGTTGTGGCGAAGAGGGTCACATACGTTTGCCGTGCAGAGGCAGCAGCATCTACTATGACTGAAGAGCAGGCAGACGCTTTCCTCCTTCAACCGTCGCAGCCACAGTCATCACCTGCACGTAGGAACGTGGTAGCTGCAGTAGGGGAACTCTTTTACAGGATAACTCGCGTCGTCATCATGAGGCCTCAGAGCATGCCTTGGTGGGAGTCTATATGGCCGAGTGCCGCTGCTGCTGCGGCTGCTGCGACATCAATTCAGTTTCTTTTTTCGTGGTCAGTTTTATTGTGTTGTCGGTTTGGTTCTATTCATTGTCCTGGTTAGTATAGTATGCTGTTGAGTTGGGCACTACCCATCGCCTCTCACCAGAACTATTAATATCCTCGCTACCTTGTTATCAATACACTGAGCAATTCTCATGTATTTCGGTCGCCAGTCAATGGGCCTGGCCTCTGGAAGCAGCGGCAACAGCAGTAGCACGTACGATGTGCGGATACCACAGTCTCCACAGCCGCAACAACAACAACAATCACGACAGTCATCATCGTCATCAGGAGGAGGAGGAGGGACGGGATCGCCACTACCATCATCAGCAAATACACAGTTGATGCATCCACCACCGCCTCCCCCGCAGACCCAAATGCCTTCTATTGGTAGTCAGTTAAGGAGGAGTTGGTGGTCACTGAGTGGTCTTTGTTAGGGCCTCCATTCCCTTCGGCACTGTACTCTCGAGCTCCGACATCTCCTCGAGGGTACATGGGTCCACCTCCTATGGCTGGTCCGCCGCCACCAAATGGGAGTAGTAGTAACGGCAATGGTGCTCCTATACATGCTATATCATCATCACCGTCAATGCACATGCAGCCGATGCCTGGTATTGGTGGTCACCATCATCACCACCATCACCCCATGATGATGGCTGGTCCACCTCCCCCTCTAATGCCACACTCCGGTATGATGCTGCCTGGAGGGCCTCCACCACTCCATCAAGGAATGATGGAGTCGGGTCCAGGTGAGTGCCGCCGTCTACAGTAGCAACCCTTGTATGTGGTGTTGTGATAGGTGGTATGATTGGTCCAGCGCCCCCGCCTCCACCTCGTATGATGATGATGTCCAGTATGGATGAGTACCACCATCCACCACCTACGGATCCCCACTACGGAGTACGTTAGAAGCTGTACTGCTGTTCATAATGGATGCTATTCTCAGTACATGATGGACGGCGGAGGACCATCACCCAATGGTCCAGTACCAGGTGGATCCATGCGTAGCACGTCGATGCCTATGATGGGGGGCAGTAACCCAGTGAATCAAAGCCATGGCAATACCTGGATACAAGTACGCTCACTCTCTCTGCAGCATCGATATCATCAATTTCAGATCATGCAGCAACACTCCTTGTGCCCGGCCTTATTGAACCAGAATGATCATCCTACTCTGCTACGATGGGATCCGTAATTCCCCGTATTTTCCACACTACAGCATAGTCACAATTTCAGATTCGAGGACCTCCTCTGGGTGGGCACACAGCAGGGTCGACTGGCTTCTATGCAATTCACGCCTAATGGTGGACTCACCGACTACACACGTTTTCGTATGGCTGCTACCACTGCTACTGCATCACTACTGCTTGCAGGTTGGAGCGTAGTGTG